TTCCTTGTAGTTTGATGTCGAGGGCTGTGCCTAGTATTTAATTCTTCTATTTGTGTTAGTATGAACAAAGAATTGCATAATGAAACAATGTATTCTACAAATTAAAGTCTTCATGAAACAGTTGAACTAGAATTCATTAAAAGTTCTTTCTTTTCTGTGAGTTTAAACAAAGACTAGTGTTTCTTATCTTCAGTACATGAATGCTTCTTCACAGCTAACCACTGCTTCAAGGTCATTGTAATTCTTGCTGGCTCATCTCTACTTTTGTATTTCTTCCTTTCTCTGTTTCTCTCCTCTCTCCCCCCCTCCCCAGTATGTACATATATTTAAAACACATTTTTTCAGTATTATACTACACGAATCCCACAACATGGGCTGGGATCCTATAAAAATGTACATTATATGCATTTATATAGTTTTAAGATACCTTGGAGTGTATTTTTTTCCATAGAAAACTATATGGCTAGAAGATTACCCTTTTATGGGAAAACAATCGTACAACCCTTATTAAAGTGTAATTTTAACATAATGTAAGCAGGTGCTTTTTATGTCAAGGATATATAACTGATAATATTATATTATAATAAAACTGGCAGCCTTTGACTGTGCTCTGAGAGATAGATCAGCATTTGGTTTTTGCACTATTGCCTAGAATTTTTTCCCTTGATGTTTGGGGTGAGATTTGTATTTTTTTATATAAACCATGATTCCCCAAAATAATTTCGCAAAAAACAGAAATCTTCTTTCTAGACTAATCATGGAAATTGATTACAGCCTTCTTCCAAGATACCTTTTGTGGGATCTCACCATATCTGTTACTTCCTTGTAAGAAATATAGGATGGGAACTGTCCTCCTTCTACTTCTATCTCTTTTTTCATTGTACAAGATGTGAGTAAATTTGATGAGTCTCAGCCAACATGCATTGAATTTCCCTCCCAGTTTTTCTCTCTGTCTCTCTCCCAGTCTGAAAGCGGACAATTTTGTTATGTCTGCTAGACAAGGAGTCACTTTCGGTTATGTGGCATCTCCTTTATAGCCTCTTTCCTTTCTCCCTCCCATTATGTATTTTTCCTAATGTGAACTTCAAGAGAAAAAAATGAAACTTTGCTTAGCTTCTTCCCAATGGCTCAAATACCTGAACTAGGTATGAACCATAAAGTCTTTCTCAGTGACTTAAATGGTTAAGCCGGATTCACTTAACAACTGCAGTGATTCTCTTAACAATTTTACTTGCTGAGCCATTTACTCACTGAGTTTAAAGCATAAAACTAGTGTGTCTCCAGTATTACAGTTTAGGTCAGGGGTGTCAAACTGCCAGCCCATGGGCCAGATGCATCATAGTGAAACCGTGCCCACCCCATTGCCGGCAATGGCAAAAAAGTCACAATACATCGCGACACGTCACATGAAGTTGCGAGTTTGACGCCCCTGGTTTAGGTTATGCTAAAATTGTTTCCTTAAAAATGTTTGTCTACACTACAAATACAATGAAATTTACTCATTGAGTGTGAAGCTTATGCTCCGTCCAATTTTGAGTTAATTCAGATTACCCTAAGCTCAAATATTGGAGAGGGTATAAGCATCATATTCAGTGAGTAAATTTCATCACATTTAATATAAGTAGTGGAAACAATCATTTCCTTGAGGGTAAGGGAATACAACATCTGGTTTTTTAGCAACCCCTCCCTGCTTGGGAAACATTTGAATTCTTTGGCTCTGTTTAAGTGAGAAGAACTTGAAGGAATCTTGGCTACTATGGTTCTGTTCTCCACAGAGGGGGAGGGAAAATGGCAGTTTTAACTAGAAAATCTGATAAACTTGTGAATATAGGAGTTGGCTGAAATAGAAACACTTTTTCCTGAAGGTCAAAAATGAAAATGCTTTGGAGCCAGTTTGAGATCTAAACTTTACACACCCATTTGCATGTCAGTACCCATGTATTTTGTAGATTGTAGGACAATAAGAGCACAGATTGTCTTAATAAACTATACAATGAATGTCGGAAAAATCTCTACAGTCTCTCTAAGTAAAGGAAACCTACTGATTCATGGAGTTGGGATTATTAGCTCAAGACAGATTTCCAGCAAACTCCTCAGTGTGATTTGATAAGAACTTAAGGAAATTAACTGCAAACTGAACTTTGAGAATTTGCAGACTGAAATTCTACACCAGCTTCTTCTAATGGGATTTGAGACATACAGTGAAGGCTTTATAGGGACCTTTTTTCTAGGATTTCTTTCTACATGTAATTCCAATTGCAAGAAATGATAATTCACCAATATAACTACTGTCATGTTTTGTAATGTCCTTGTAATGAAATATCAAAAAGCACAGCCTGGAAAATGTCCTATAGCCCACCTATGAGGTTTTCTTACTTCAGAGTAGGACTTTCCTCCATATTCAACCATCCTCCCCAGATTAGTTTAGTATACTCTCCATTATACTGTTCAAGAAGTACTGTAGATACTGAATTATCTCCTGCTGGGAATGCATGTTAAATTCACAGAACACTTTAATAAAACAGTAGGCCACTTGCACAAATGAGCCTGTCAATGTACATGCAGTAGAAAAGGCAGCATTCCTATATAGTTTGACAAATTAGAGTGGAGGATTGTAGAAACATCCCCAATAAATGTATATGCCAATATGAGGTAAAAAGTGTTCATATTTCGTTAACCTGCAAGATATAAGTGTTCTGAAATTGAAAGAATCCTCTTCCCCTAGTTATATATTTTTTTCTCTACAGGGAACAGAGATTGCTGTAACTAAACACTAACTTTTGCTCTGTACTCAAAATCTCAATTACAGGGGGTGAGCAACTTGATCCTTGCTCTGTTTGGGTGATCTCTTATTTGCTATTGAATAGAGTTTCCCCCAAACAAGCAGGAGTTTATTTATTTATTCTGAAATGGTATAAGGTCTCCTACTCAAGCAGGGGGTTGGACTAGAAGACCTCCAAGGTCCCTTCCAACTCT